GATTTTATTGGTTAACTCTTTGTTTTCTCCTATCTACTGACTTATGTACAGCCTTTACACCATCTCTCAGTCCTTCCTGTCCTTACTTTTTCTTAAATCCCACAGCCTATCATTACTGTCACAGCCGTGCCAACTTCCTCCACAGTATGTTCCTCTCTTTGTTTCCATTGCTCACCCACCTGGCTAAACCCTATCCTTGTTGAATCCTACTCTCTGCTTTGTCTACCAAGAGACAGTATGGTTTAAGGTATAAGGGTGGCAGCTCTGGAGTTCATCTTCCTAGAGCTCAAACACTGCCACCTAATAATACCTGTGGATCTTTAAGTTGCTTATCACTTCTGTAAAATGAGGATGATAATAATAATGCCTGACTCATGGATATGTAATGAAATTGAAATGAGACTATATACTTAGACTTGCACCGACCATAGTAGGCACCCAGTAAGCATTGTTTATTATTATTATTCCACATATGAGTCAGTGGAATGAATTTAGGAAAATCACATACCTAGACAGACTGCTTAACCATAAATGGAAAACCACAGACATCAGATGGGCCCTTGATACTATCTAGAAACTCTATTCACTTTCTCCCTATGTTTGTTATCCTACTCTCCCAAAATACTGCACCATGCCTTCAACTCTCACTTCAACTCTCCTCCACGCTCAGCTGATGAATCCCCCTCCTGCTGCATGGGGAAGATAGAGGCCGTTAGACAAATACTACTTCATCCGACCATCATCCAAAATACAGTGACCTGCATCTGGATCCATTTTCTCCACTTTCTCTTTAATTCAGCGTGAGAAAGTTTCCTCATTTCTGGCAAAGGCCAACCCCTGTGCTTGGGTTATTGGTCCCTTCACTGTGGCTTTCCCAGGAATGTTCTTCACCCTGCTCCAAGGGCAGTATATATGCCCTTCTATAATACCTCCTTCCATTAAATGTGGTTGGAACTCATGACCCACTACTAATCAATAGAATATGGCAAAAATGATGGAGTATTGTTCTTGTGATTACAGTGAATTATATGAGACTTTACCTTACTAAGACAGGCAGGCGTGAAGATTCCCCTTGCTGGCCTGATGAAGTAAGAGGCCATGCTGAAGAAGCCCAAGTAACAAAGCACTGTGAGGAGTAGGCGTGGGGGAAAGGGGATCTAGGAGCTGAGGGCAGCTTCCAGGCAAGAGCCAGCAAGAAGCTGGGACCCTCAGACCTAGATGCAAGGGAATGCATTCTGCTCACACCCTGAAGAGAACTGTAAGTCCATTCCTCCCCAGTTAGGCCTCCTGATGAAAACACAGCCCTCTCAACACCTTGATTGCAGCTCTGAGACTTAGCAGCTGATCTAACTGAGTAGAACCTGGACTCCTAACCCACAGATACTGTGAGAACTGTTGTAAGTCAAAAGTTAGTGGTAATTTGTTACACATCAATAGAAAATGAAGGCATCCCCCTCACACACCAGAAAATTCCCATAATGCTGTAGTACTTACTCTATTTGCCTTCGAGGTAGTCCCCCTTTTCTCTGCTCTTTTTTCCAACAAGACTTGTTGAAAGAGTTTTTTAAATTTCTCACTATGCCCTCATCTCCCATTCACTGCTCTGCCCACTGTATTCACATCACTGCCTTCAGATTTGTCAAGAATGCCAATAAGTTCCACATTACTTAACCTAAATGGATATGTCTCTATGCTTATCTTACTCGGTACCCCAAGAGTATTCAACACAACTCACCACAGTTCACCTTTAGCATTATCTCTTCTCTTGGCTTACAGGACTTACATGCTCTAGTTTCCTTTGACTTGTCTGGCTGCTGCTTCTCATTCACCTTTGCTGTCTTCTCCTCCTACACCCAAACCTGAACAGTGCTGTGCCCAAGTCTGGCCTAACGCTATCCTCTCTTGATCTACTACACTCCCTTTCTAGTCCCTAGCTTTCAATGACATCAGTATGCTGTTGACTCCCCAATTTTTTTCTCTAGCCCTGACCTCTCCCCTCAGCTCCACAACCTATAGCCAGCTGTCTAACTGCATTTCCATTTACATGTCTTATGGTCATCTCAGACCTAACATGTCCAAAATGAACACTTGATTTTTCTTTCACAAAAAGCTGTTGTTCCCCTAGTTTTCTCACTCTCAGCAAACCGCACATGTAACAAACCTTCATATTGGAGCTTCTCATTCCTTCACCCTCCTCCCCTAATCCATCAGCAAGTCCTTGCAGGTCAATCATCACAACAGATCTGCAATTTGTCCACTCCTCTCTAACTCCACTCCTGTTAATCTAGTCCAAACTGCTCTCACATCTCACCTAGACTGCAGCAATAGCCACCTAACTGGTCTCCCTGCTTCTCCCTGCAGTCCTCTATAATCCATACAGCAGGAATTAATTAAAAAAAAAAGCACCTTGTATGCCTTTACTGCCTAAGACTTTTCAAAGACTTCACACTCTAAGATGTCCACCAAAGGGCTATGTTGCTGGCTCCTATCTGCCTCCCTGACATATTTCATACCTACCAAGTTCTAGCCATACTCACTTTTTTCTCCTTCCCACCCCAGGACTTTTGCAATTGTTATTCCCTCTGCTGGACAGATCTTCCCAAGCTACATGTCTCAGGTCTCAGATTGAATGTCTCCTCCTAAGGGAGGTCTACCTCACAGTATTTTTCTCTTCCCTCCTAGACTCTGTGATATCATGAGTTCCCTCATAGCATGCATCACAATCTCCAGCGCTACACCTGTTTGTTTGTTTGTTTGTTTGATCGTTGCTATGACTCCTTTCACTAGATGTTAGCATCTGGAAGGTGTACACTGCTATGCTCCGGAATAGCACTTGGCACCTAGGAGATGCTCAACAAATATCTGAATAAATGAATGCATATACATTATATGCATTAGAATACAGTGATCTTGTTATATAGTCCATTGGAAAATCTCTTGATACAGTGTCAAGATGTCATAAAAACAGCAAAAAATGGGAAGAATCATACCTCAAACTATTCAATATATACATTACTGAAAAGCTGTGGCCACAAAAAATGTTATAAAATGAAGCCTATTTTTTAAAAAATTTGATAAATCTGTTCGGAGATGTGAACAATCTTTTTTTTTTTTTAAGATTTTATTTACTTATTCAGGAGAGACACAGAAATAGGGAGAGAGAGAGAGAGAGAGACAGACAGACAGACAGACAGACAGGAGAATTAGGCTCCATGCAGAGAGCCAGATATGGAGCCTCGATCCCAGGACTCCGGGATCATGCTCTGAGCAGAAGGCAGACGCTCAACCGCTGAGCCATCCAGGCGTCCCAATCTTTTTTGATCATGTGAATTATATCACACCCCAGTTACTCTGTTTCTATAGGTTTGATTTTTTCCTACATTGGGTTTACTTTGATCACAGAGCATAAATTATAATGAATTTTTCTGTCACAAACTACAAGCCTTATTTTCAGTATTGCTGAACAAAAACCGCTAAGGAATCACCGCTACTCTTGTTAATGTCACTGATGCCATGTGACTTAATTCCCAACCCAGTTATATCCTTTAGCCTATACAATGCAGGCTTTTTAGCAGGCCATGGTAATGAGTGTGCTCATGGTCTGGATTCCAACAAGCAACTGTCAAAAACTATCATCCCGAAAGACTACTTGCTGAGAATTTCTCACTCCTAGAGCTGGTACTTCCAGGGTGGTCTAGCAAAGAAATGTGTGCCTATGTCTATTCTGGGGATATTCTAAATGCTGATGTTTAGCATTTCTTTGGAATTGCAATTTCATGCTTTGAGCAGCTTTCCCCCCCCCAAGCCCCACAAGATAAATAGTCTCTATTAAGTTCACTTGTTTATGTATTTTTTTTTCTTCCTGATATACCACGATCCTCTGAAAACTCCAGTAAATAGTTACTCAGTTGATTTTCAGAACCACTCTTGAGGAAAAGCACTAACTTCATCGCCTACCACTTGCTGCCCTCAAAACTTCTTAGCAACATACACTGTGCATGAACCTCAACGTGGTTTGCTTTGTCCAATCGCAGGCCTGAAAGCCCAGCCAGTCAGTTGTGTAATAATAAACCCCTTATCTCCTGAAGATACACAAACGGAACGATCTCTCCGTGCTTCCCTGCACCGGAGAGACTTCACTACAATTCTCAGCAGAAACTCACATCCATTTTTAAATGCCAAATGATCCCCACTTTTCCCGATTTCCTCTTTCTTTCCCTATGTGCAATTCTGAGCAAGGAGGGGAACATTTAAAAAAAAAAAGCCCCAAGTGCTAAAACAATGTTTAAAGAGGGGAAGGGAAGGGAAGGGAAGGGAAGGGAAGGGAAGGGAAGGGAAGGGAAGGGAAGGGAAGGGAAGGGAAGGGAAGGGAAGGGAAGGGTAGGGTGGCGGGCACTGCCAAAAGCCTGCAAAATGCATGCAGAAAGCAAGGGCTGGGGGTTCACTTTGGGGTCACCGGGTCCCTCACAAACATCCGTGATGGAAACTCATCAACAATTGCTCTGGGATGAAGGCGGGCTCGGGGAAGGCTGGCAGGAGAAGCCCCTGCTAGTTTCATTAAGCCTGAGTAGCCCGCAAAGCAGGGAGGACAGCGCTGCTCGCTGGGCGAAGAATAAAGCCCCCCACCCCCACCCCCACCCCCACCCCCCGGCGCCAACCCGCGCCCACCGGGTCCCGTCTCCAAGTTCCCTACCTCGCCGGGGAGAAGCGTCCTCTTCCTGCGCCCACACGGCACCACCAGCCCGCCCGGTCCCGGAGCCGCGCGGGAGCGGCCGCCCCGGGAGGTGCGGGGGGCCCGGGGCGTGAGCTCCGCAGCCCCCCCCCCCCGCGCCGCCGCCGCCACACCCCCCGGCCCCCGGCCCCCGGCTCCCGGCCCGCGCCTCTCCCCTCCCCTCCCCCGGCCCGGCCCGGCCCGGGCCCGTCTCCGCCCCCCGCGGCCGCGGGTCCCGCGCGCCCTGCCCTGCCCTGCCCTGCCCTGCCCTGCACCGCCCCGCACGCACCTTCAGGGCGCCCCGCGCCGGGGCCCGGGGGACCGCACGGCCCGCGCCCAGCGGCGGGAAGCGCTCCTCGCCGTCCTCGTCGTCGTCGTCCACCTCGACGACCACCTCCTCGTCCTCGTCCTCGTCGTCGTCATCCTCCTCCTCCGCGCCCCCTCGGGGCTTCTGCTCCACCCGCCCGAGCCCCCTCCGCCGCCTGCTCCCGCCTTCCTCGTCCTCGTCTTCCTCCCCGAGCAGCAGCAGCACGGGCGACGAGGCGGCGGCGGCGGCGGCGGCGGCGGCCCGAGGGGGGCCGGTCCCGGCGCTGCGCGGCGGCGGCGGCGGCCTCCAGCTCTCCGGAGCCGGGGCCGGGGCCGGGGCCGGGGCCGGGTGCGCGCCCGGGCCGAGGGGCGGGAGGCCGGGCACGGTGCCTTCCCCGGCAGGCGCGGGGCCGGGCGCCTGCAACGCGGCGCCCCCCCGGCGGCTGCCCAGGCTGGAGCGCTTGGCTAGACGCCGCGCCTGCATGCCTGACCGCGGGCTGCCCGCCGCGGCGCGGAGCCGGAGAGTTTGTCCCCCTCCGCCGCCGCCGCCGCCGCCGCCGCCGCCGCCGCCGCCGCCTCCTCTTCCTCCCCGGGCGGCCGCTGCGGTCGCAGGCGCCCCGGGCGCGCGGGGCTGCAGGGGGGCCGCGGGAGCCGCCTCCCCGGGCTTGCAGCTGCCACTGGCTGCAGAGGCGCGGGCGCCGCCTTCGCTGGACCGGCCCGCGGGGACGCCGGCGGCCGGCGGCTACGGCGGGGCGGCGCGGCGGCCGCGGGCGGGGGTGGGTGTGAGCGAGCGGCGCGCTGCCGCCTCCGCCGCCGCCGCCGCCGCCGCCGCCGCCGCCGCCCCGGGGCCGCGGGCCGCGCTGCGCTCCATGCGGCCGGCGGCCGGGCCCGCGCGCGCCTCTCCCGGGCCGCTGCGCCGCGCGTCCTGGCCTACCGCGGCCGGCCCTCGGCGCGAGCTGTTTGTGTTGTGTGTGCGCCACCCCCGCCCCCCGCCTCGCGAGCCCTTCCTCGCCGCTCTCCGGTCCCCCCCGTTCAGACAAAACCCGGACTGGATTTATTTCCCCTGCCCTCAGCCTCCGCAGACGCGGCGCCTCCAAGCAGGCGGCCCGGGCGCCGCGGCCAAGGCTGCCCCTTGCGCAGGGCGGACGCCGGATTGGCGGGAACGGGCCGCTGGGTCAGACGCGGACTTGGCGGGAAGAGCTTGGCCGCAGGTCGTTCTCCTGGCTCTGCGGCGCACGGCGCGACGACCCTCGGCCTCGGGCGAAGGCCCAGAAGGTCTGTCAGTCTGAGACGTGGGGCCCGGTCCTAACGCGGACCGTCAGACTCCTTTGGGTTTCCGAGATGCCGGTTCCTGACACCGCCGGCCACCGTCTCAGCCCCTTTGACCGCCCCGTCCCTAGGCCCTGCCCATTGAGCTCCCCGGGGGGACGGGCGACGTGCTAGGTCCGTAAGGGCGACCTGCTAGGTCTGTAAGGGCGACCCGCTAGGTCTGTAAGGGCGACCCGCTGAGTCTGTAAGGGCGACCTGCTAAGTCTGTAAGGGCGACCTGCTAAGTCTGTAAGGGTGACCTGCTAGGTCTGTAAGGGAGACGTGCTAGGTCCGTAAGGGCGACGTGCTAGGTCTGTAAGGGCGACCTGCTAGGTCTGTGAGGGCGACCTGCTAGGTCTGTGAGGGCGACCTGCTAGGTCTGTGAGGGCGACCCGCTGAGTCTGTAAGGGCGACCTGCTAGGTCTGTAAGGGAGACGTGCTAGGTCTGTAAGGGCGACGTGCTAGGTCTGTAAGGGCGACGTGCTAGGTCTGTAAGGGCGACCTGCTAAGTCTGTAAGGGCGACCTGCTAAGTCTGTAAGGGCGACCTGCTAGGTCTGTAAGGGAGACGTGCTAGGTCCGTAAGGGCAACGTGCTAGGTCTGTAAGGGCGACGTGCTAGGTCTGTAAGGGCGACCTGCTAGGTCTGTAAGGGCCACCCGCTAGGTCTGTAAGGGCGACCGGCTAGGTCTGTGAGGGCGACCTGCTAGGTCTGTAAGGGCCACCCGCTAGGTCTGTAAGGGCGACCGGCTAGGTCTGTGAGGGCGACCTGCTAGGTCTGTAAGGGCGACCCGCTAGGTCTGTAAGGGCGACCTGCTAAGTCTGTAAGGGCGACCTGCTAAGTCTGTAAGGGCGACCTGCTAGGTCTGTAAGGGAGACGTGCTAGGTCCGTAAGGGCAACGTGCTAGGTCTGTAAGGGCGACGTGCTAGGTCTGTAAGGGCGACCCGCTAGGTCTGTAAGGGCGACCTGCTAAGTCTGTAAGGGCGACCTGCTAAGTCTGTAAGGGCGACCTGCTAGGTCTGTAAGGGAGACGTGCTAGGTCCGTAAGGGCAACGTGCTAGGTCTGTAAGGGCGACGTGCTAGGTCTGTAAGGGCGACCTGCTAGGTCTGTAAGGGCCACCCGCTAGGTCTGTAAGGGCGACCGGCTAGGTCTGTGAGGGCGACCTGCTAGGTCTGTGAGGGCGACCTGCTAGGTCTGTAAGGGCGACCCGCTAGGTCTGTAAGGGCGACCTGCTAAGTCTGTAAGGGCGACCTGCTAAGTCTGTAAGGGTGACCTGCTAGGTCCGTAAGGGAGACGTGCTAGGTCCGTAAGGGCGACGTGCTAGGTCTGTAAGGGCGACGTGCTAGGTCTGTAAGGGCGACGTGCTAGGTCTGTGAGGGCGACCTGCTAGGTCTGTAAGGGCGACCCGCTAGGTCTGTAAGGGCGACCCGCTGAGTCTGTAAGGGCGACCCGCTGAGTCTGTAAGGGCGACGTGCTAGGTCTGTAAGGGCGACGTGCTAGGTCTGTAAGGGCGACCCGCTAGGTCTGTAAGGGCGACGTGCTAGGTCTGTGAGGGCGACCTGCTAGGTCTGTAAGGGCGACCCGCTAGGTCTGTAAGGGCGACGTGCTAGGTCTGTGAGGGCGACCTGCTAGGTCTGTGAGGGCGACCCGCTAGGTCTGTAAGGGCGATGTGCTAGGTCTGTGAGGGCGACCTGCTAGGTCTGTAAGGGCGACCCGCTAGGTCTGTAAGGGCGACCCGCTGAGTCTGTAAGGGCGACCCGCTGAGTCTGTAAGGGCGACGTGCTAGGTCTGTAAGGGCGACGTGCTAGGTCTGTAAGGGCGACCCGCTAGGTCTGTAAGGGCCACCCGCTAGGTCTGTAAGGGCGACCTGCTAGGTCTGTGAGGGCGACCGGCTAAGTCTGTGAGGGCGACCTGCTAAGTCTGTAAGGGTGACCTGCTAGGTCTGTAAGGGCGACCCACTGAGTCTGTAGGGGCGACCTGCTAAGTCTGTAAGGGCAACATGCTAGGTCTGTAAGGGCCACCCTCTAGGTCTGTAAGGGCGACCTGCTAAGTCTGTAAGTCTTTCAGGGCCTGATGGTAAAGGCGACATTCCTAGAAGCTTTCAGCTCTCACCGTTCAGTCCGTAGGCCACTGGTACCCTCGAGGCCTTTGGAGAGACAAACTGAGGCAAGAGTTCAAGCCTGCCTGGGTTGCTTATTTTCTAAAACTGATATCAAGTTATCAGTAAAACTGAAAACCAAGCCCATAACCATCTAACCAATGACACTGTCGCTTTCTGGGGATCTCTACGTGGGATAAAGTAAAGCGCGCTATCGTTTGGGATTAGGATATACAGCAAGTCGTTGTCTTTACATCCAAACCCTCCGCCCAATTCCATCTTCGTAGCTGAGGGCTGAGGAGGATCTAACTCGCCAAATACTCTGGCAGGTGCCTCCATGAGGCCAGTGTGGAAGGTGTCCTCGCCTCAGCTTCCTTCCACCGTAATTACTGTAGGAGATTTAACATCATGTGCCCTGCTAGACACTTGAAGGGAGCTCATTAAATGCTCACTTATGGTGTCTTCCAACTGTTGAACATTTCCACTGGGATGATGACAGAGACTCTAAAATGAACTTTTTGTTCTCCCTGAATCAGATTAGCTTCCTGATATGCCTATTTCAGGTAATGACACTCTCTGTAATCAGTCAGGCCCAGAATAGCGGTAACATTTTAACTCCCTTCTCTACCTTATCCCTAGAGGCAGGTGCCCACAAGTCCAACCCATTGTTCTTTCTGAAATGCCTGTCGCATCCAACGCTTCCTTTCCATGTCCAAAGTTCCTATGGTATTTCGTGGCTTCAAAAGTGAAAGTTTCTAACAGGGCTCACTACACCCAGTTTCTCAAGGGACACACCCTCTCCTAAACCCCCTCCAGATAACGCCACCAGATTCTTCTTCCCCCAAAATCCATTTAGAGTGACGCCTGGGTGGCTCAGCGGTTGAGCGTCTGCCTTCAGCCCCCTGGGGTGATCCTGGAGTCCTGGGATCGAGTCCCACATCAGGCTCCCTGCATGGGGTCTGCTTCTCCCTCTGCCTGTGTCTCTGCCTCTCTCTCTCTCTCTGTGGGTGTGTGTCTCTCATGAATAAATAAATAATTTTTTTAAAAAATCCATTTAGATCACAGTGTATCCTGGTTGAACTTTTCATTTGTAATTATTCCATTCAAGAATTCAGAGGGAGAAGATAGTTTGAGCATTTTAACAGACGGGTGTGTTTGATCAAAAGCATGAGGCCAGCCAAAGCATGGCTGATTAGTATCAGGCAAGCCTGATACTAATCAGTATCAGTGAGTGTTTCCAAAGAATAAAGAAGGGTGACTGAAATGGTTTCATCCCAAATGCAAGAAATTTTCCTTGGTAGATCTGGGAGATGAGTTTAGAGAGAGGCAGCAGGATCTTTCTCTGACCAGGAAGAATGAAGATCCAGGACAAGGAGTTGGCTGACAGATACGGACAGGGTGATAGTAGGGGACAAAGCTGTGAGACAAGTGGGCTAGTGGTTAGGTATGTGGTCTCAGGAGCCAGAGTGTCTGGGTTTGAACCCTGGCTCTCGAACTTACCAACAATATATATACCTTTACTCACCACCTCACTGTGCGTTAGTTCGCTCATCTGTAAAATGGAGATAATAGTAGCACCTACCTAATAGTAAAGTTCTTTTGTAGGATAATGAGTTAATATGTGCAGTCATCTTAGGAGAGGGCCTAACCTAAGGAAGGTCTATATAAAAGCTCATTATGTTAAATATTTTGATGGCATTATATAAACGCAGTGACTTGGGTTACTCTCAAAGAATAATGAGGTAGCTCTCTTTTTAGTAAACTCAGAACTGTCAATAACTAGCAAGAACATGCTTTTAAAGCCTGACTACATCTTATCAAGGAGCTATGGTCAGGCCAAGGATAAGGCTTTTTACATCTGAAATTGGCATAGATGAGAGAGAGTAAATGTTTTCCTGAGAACTGAGCAGAAACAGAGTTAAGTGAGTCTGTGATTATATTTGTGGATTAGTAGGAGAGGTACTAATTTACACCATTGTACTTTCTTTCAAAATTGCTATATATGCTTCGAAATCAGCTTGTTCTTTTTCTTAGGTCACCTCAACAGAGCTCATACATACCCCCACTGGGCCTGAGAGACTGCCCTCTGATTGGGAGAAAAAGATTGGCCTTAATATCGGGACCGTTAAGTTCAGGCTAATGTCACAAAAGCAGTTTGGCTC